GTAAGACTTAAATTTAAGCCGTTAACACTACCAATAAAGTTAAGTTACAAGCTTTAATTCTTTCAAAAATGTCGTTAACTGTAATTCAATGGAACTTAAAAGGATATGCAAATAACTATAGCCAACTCCTTATTCTAATCAAAAAATATACTCCGCAGATAATTTCCCTCCAAGAAACCCACATACAATATACTAACAATATACCAACTCCAATAAATTACATACTACTAACAAACATAGCCACCAACAGATTTGGCGGCGTAGCGCTATTAATACACAAGTCAATTTAATATTCTATAGTAAACATCCCAAACGACCTTGAAGCTCTAGCAATACACATAAAATCCAAGGAGAACATGCACATAAAGACAACATACATTGCACCAAACAGAACCGTAACAAACCAAATGCTTGAAGACACTTTGTACAACAATCAAACACCCTCACTAATTCTAGGAGACTTTAACGGATGGCACCCTGCCTGGGGTTCCCCGAAAACTAATTCTCGAGGAAAAAACAATACAACAATTTATTGACAACACACAGCTAATCTTACTAAACGATAAATCCCCCACACACTTCTCAACACACAATACATACACGCATATTGACCTTTCACTTTGCTCAGCAACACTAGCCCCACACACCAAGTGGGAAATACTTAATGATCTCCACGGCAGCGACCATTTTCCAATAGTTATCTCCCTATTCCCTCCAAACAAGATAAACAAATTTTCAAAACCATTTTTTATATTAAAAAAAGCCAACTGGGAGCAATACGAGACTCTCACACACAAACATAACGAAATATTTCCCACTTCATTAAATGTCAATAAAGAAGCCGCACAAATCAACAAAATTATACTACATAGCGCAAACATTTCCATCCCACAAACCTCAGTAAGTTCAAAACCCTACAAGGTCCCCTGGTGGAACAAAAAACTAGCTCAGTTAAAAAAAGAAAAACAATTAGCTTGGAAAGCACTTAATCGCAACATCAATTTTACAAACATTATAAACTACAGACGCTTAAACGCCAAGTACAGGTTCGAAATAAAAAGAAGAAAAAGGGAAGCTTCCAGCTCCTTTACATCCACCATACAACCGAAAACTCCATCATCCAAAATATGGGGCAACATAAGACGCTTCTGCGGCCTTAACCCAATCAAACAAATTCACGCCATTCTTAATCCCAAAAACAACACAACAACAACAGATACTCTCGAAATAGCCAACTCCTTCTCCCAACACTTCTCAGAGCTCTCAAGCGACCTAAACTTTTCAGACGAATTCCGAAATAACAAATATAAAACCAACACAGCCAATTATACACCCACCTCAACAGCCAAATCTATCGAGAAAAAAATAACTTACCTTGAATTGTTTGCAGCACTACAAACACTTAAAGGATCCACTCCAGGATTAAACAGAATTTCTTACGAAATGATACGCAACAGCTCCCTTACCACAAAAAACAGAATAAAAAACCTTTTCAACCAAATTTTCGACAGCCACATACCTCAAGCCTACAAAATAAGCCTAGTCATTCCGATTCTTAAGCCAAAAACTGACAAAACAAATATCTCTTCATACAGACCCATTTCCCTCAACTGCTGTCTAGCAAAAACACTTGACAAAATCATAGCAAAAAGACTATGGTGGTTTGTGACCCACAACAAACTTTTAAATACAAACCAATTCGGCTTTAAAAAAGGCAAATCGACTTCAGGTAGTCTACTATACGTAGACCATCTCATAACGAAGTCAAAGAGGCACACCTCCCTCGTCACTCTTGACTTTGCAAGAGCCTTTGATCGAATAGGGGTGCACACTATAATTGATCAACTACAGGAATGGAAAACAGGCCCAAAAATAATTAATTACGTCAAGAACTTCATGCTCAAACGTAAAATAATTGTCAGAGTCGGTCCGCACATGTCAAATTCACTCCCATTATCCAATGGTATCCCACAAGGATCTCCTATATCGGTAATCCTATTTCTTATCGCATACAACAAGCTCTCAAACATAATAACTTTACACAGAGAAATTAAATTTAACGCATACGCCGACGATTTTTTTCTCATAATAAATTTCAACAAAAACAAAAACCTTAACTTCAACCTAGACAACTTATTACAAGACATAAACAGCTGGTGCTCATACTCAGGGGCATACCTATCCTTAGCTAAGTGCCAACACCTCCATATTTGCCAAAAGCACAATTGCACCAGCACCATAAGCTGTAGCAACACACCAATACAACAAGTAACTGCACTAAAAATCTTAGGGATAACCATAAACAGTAAATACAAATGGGACACACACATAAAATCACTTCTTCCACCACTACACCAAAAATTAAATATCATGAAATGCCTCTCCAACCCTAAATTCAATTGTAACACAGAAACACTACTTAACGTCGCGAAAGCAACAGTCATAGCAAAATTGGAATATGGACTGTTTCTATACGGACACGCTCCGAAAAGCGTGCTAAACAAATTAAAAACACCCTTTAACACAGCAATTCGACTAGCCCTTGGCGCCTACCGTACCACGCCCATAAATAACTTGCTATACGAAGCCAACATCCTCCCATTAGAGCATAAACGAGACCTCCAAACAGCCAAACTCACAAAAAACCTTATATTTTCGAAAGATACACCAACACACAAACTTGTCAAACAAAGAAAACCAAAAAAAAACCCATCAACCATAGACCGCACAATAAATCTTTGTCAAGCTCTAAATCTACCCTATGAACCAGTAAAACTACACAAATACCAGCCACCTTGGGATCTCCCAAATCTCATAGACACAACATTTAGAGCGCACAAGAAACATACCACACCACCGGAGACATACAGGAAACTATACGAACATACCAAAGACAACCATAAAACACACAAATTCATATTTACGGACGGATCAAAAATGAACTCCACTATAGCATATGCAATCACAACAGATACTTATATCATTAAATATGGTATCCTACCCCCATACTCATCAGTGCTCTCCGCAGAAATAATAGCCATCCTAGTAGCGATCGATCAAGTCAAAAGCACAAGGGGAAAGTTCATGATCTGCTCTGACTCTCTCTCAGCAATTGACGCCATAAGAAACACAAACAACAACAATTTTTACTCTAACAAAATCAGATCACTTCTTGCAAAACTAGCCCCAAAAATTAAAATATTGTGGATCCCTGGTCATGTAGGCATAGCAGGCAACGAGCTAGCCGACCAAACCGCAAAATCGACAAGCAATATGCCCCTTATTTACACCCCAAACATCAACTTAACAGACATAAACAGGCACTTAAAACTCGAATTCCTAGCAAGAAATAAACTAAACATAGAACACTGCAATCAATGGTATAAAAACATTAACAAAGACAATTCAAACATCGACAATTATTGCAGATCCTTCCATCCCAAATCGAGCAGACTCGATCAAATTAAAATAATACGCCTTAGACTAGGCCACACAAAACTTACACACGAGCACTACTTTAATCAAAACCAAACTTCACCCTGCCCCTTTTGCCAAGGCGACAATACCATACCCCACCTATTAAATTCATGCCCTTCACTCCTCCCTACAAAACTATCTATCTTCAAAAACACAAACCCAATAAATCTCCTCAATGAACTCAACCCAGATAATTTAGAAAAAATCTTACTTTTCTTAAAAGCTACAAACCTATACCACAAAATTTAATAAAATACCCCAAATGTACATAAATAATAATTTACCAACTAAGTAGCCAAAATACAACGAACAATATGTAATCAAACTAATAGACTTAATATCATTAACCTTAAAAGCCGAAGGCCTTGTTGCCAGTGCTTTACCAACTAAGTTAGTCTAGTTTTGTAAACTTCTCTATCTTTAATAATAAATAATAAATAAATAAAAAACACTTTGATTTCGATCGCACGAACCGGTCAATAGTTATTTGCGAGCTATGATTTTGAGTTAAGGTATCATTTGCCATTAATATTGATAAGGCAGAACAAGATCTTTCGCTGCTTCTGGCATGTTGCCCCATAGTTAATTCTGCTGATTTTTCTTCCTCATCTCAATATTCCCTAACAAATTTGATGATCTCATAAGATGTGCCGCATTTAATATTTGGATCGATAACCTCTATCTAATAATCTTCAACCATTTTTATTTTGTCAGATACCACCGATTTTAAGTTCACAGTCTCGTCTTTTGTTTTATTTGTTTTATTAATTGTCGTACGTTAAACATTGAATTTGTTACAGCAATATTGTTTGTTGGTTCTAGAGGTGGATTCACAATATGAGGTCTATTATTATTTATTCCAGCCCGACTTTTTGAAGGTTCTGGAAGTGGATTCATTATGAAAATTTTTTGAAAAGTATAAAAAAAATAGAATTGGGATCTCCGGCTTAGATTCCGTTGCCTTGTGCGCAGCGCAAGCTTGTTACGCGAATATGCCACGCCCACTCTAACCCCCACAAACCGACCAAACCTGTGGCGCCCACAATTTGCATGCTAGATACAAAATTTTAACTGAAATGTATTGGTCTCGTTAATACCTATCGACTGGGTTAAAGACACTAAAGCCTTTTGATTTTGTCTACGAAGGAACGCTTCAGCAAGTCGTGCATATCGTTCACTCTTATTAAATGCATATCGGTCTCAAGTTTCTTGAGTCTTGTACGTCAAAATGAAACTTTTTAATTTTAACGGTTACTCGTAGAGTAAAAGGGTACACTAGACATCTTGAAGGAAGGGTTTTTAACCCCATAAAGAATATATAAACTTGATCAGGATCAATAGCCGAGCCGATATAGCCATGCCCGTCCGTTCGTATAAATGCTGTGATCTCGAAAACTTTAAGAGCTACAATATTGGGATTAGGCATGCAGATTCTAGAGATTCCTGGGCAGCGCAAGTTCGGCTTATAATTACAGATTAAATATATGACTTAAATGTAAACCTATATTAAAAATATTTTCCAGATATGTTGATGAACTCTTATATTGGTCGGGTCGTAGAATGATTTTGGATGAATACTTGCAAGGAGATCTAATGCCAAAAAGGTTACCTCCGTCTTGGGTAACAACTCATAAATATGTCTTCCAATCAGACGATGGAGGTTTGGGTATATTGAATACGGCTACGAACTTATTAAGCGTATTAGTAACAAATCACACGCTTCGTCAGTTAAATGTTCAAGGATATGTTTGCTCCCATGATCTCAAATATGTTTTATTTAAGCATAATGTAAAAAAGGTAAGTTTTTTATGATGCTAAGATAAAAATAAACAAACTCTTTGTTTAGGTTTTTCAAAAGTCCTTTAACGCATTTTACACAATTTATGATGTGAAAAATGATCACCCCATGCCAGTTAAATTAAAAGACTCTCTGAAGGTACAAAGAGCTCGTCTTCAGTACGCAGATTGGCTTGGCAATACAACTGCAATAATATATGTTGTTGAAAATGATATATACATCCGACCATCCCCCTTAATTGAGGAAGATATAAGAATAACATCATCTGGATATGAAAATCTAATATATAATGGTATTCCTGATTGGCTTTACCAAGGTATGTATTATATTTTTTTTGATTAAATTACTTATTACTAGATCTACATAAAACTCATATTTTGTTTTTGACGAACTAAGAGCAGCATTAAAATGAGTTGAATAAATAAGAACGGTCATTCAATTTGAAATAAAATAGTGCTTGACTGAAACAAACAATTTTTCCCGATATTACTTATCAAACAAAAACACCTCTTAACGAAGTAAAAAAAAAGTGACGACAGCGCCTTTAACATACAAAAGTTCTGATATCATAACTTGTGAAGAAAAATAATTTTTCATTCGAAAAAGTAAAAACACTTTCTAAAATTTATTCACTCGGCCCGCTTTAGAAAAATATTTAAGATTTTACACACATGAACAATTTCAATTGTAGCGTGCCGAAAAAGAAAGTGCTCTTTAGAACTTTCTTTTAGAAAGTGCTTCTCTGTTTTGAATGTACAATGTACAATCGTCACAAATTATGATATCAGAACCTTTGTATGTTAAGGGTGCGGTCGTCACTATTTTTTTACCTCGTTAAGAGGTGCTTACCCAAGTCGTAAACAATTTCTTATAAACGATTCCTAGCAGGGAAACCCTTACTCAGCTTTTCCCCAGAATCTCAATTAGCTCCCACCCTTCAGTAGAATTTCCTTATTAAGATTCAATTGCGCCTCGGTCCCCCAAATCTCTAAATTCGAGGTTTGCTTATCAGATAATCGACCCTTGGCCAGGAAGTCGGTTTTTGCATCCGAGAAGATCGGTTCTAACAAATAATAATTGTGAACAGTAAAATAAAAATCGTTATTAAGGTAAACTTAAAATTAAGGAATTAAAAAATAAAAATATATTTTTCAAAATAATTCATTAGTGAAATAATTAATTAAGGCTTAACGTGGGGCCACGCTTAATTTGTTCTGACTAAAGCTTTAAAATAAAAACCTTACGGCTTTAAAGTGAATTGGAACTTGAGTGGTCTAATAAACAACTATCGAGCGACAGAAAGTTCGCGTTATAAACAAAGCAGGAAATTAATAAATGAAATAGTCCCCTTTACTTACAACAATTCGCTAATTAGTAATCGACATAATAAACTTGCTGCTTAACAAAACAAACAAAACGGACTCAAAAAAAACCTACAAATTCGCAAAATTAAACAAAAAAAAGTAAAACTTTAAAAGTGAAAGCTGATCCATATAAATACAAACTCCGAAACAAATTCAAATACAAATACAAAGTCAAATACAAATTCAACAAGAAGGAAGAGCTGAGGGCAATCCCTCGCTAACCAGATACAATCACAAAACAAATTGAAGGTACAAACATATTAAAACAACCAAGAAGGACGATCCCAGCAGGATCATCAAAGGAACACAGAAGACATCCCATTAAACCAAGGAAGAAAGAAGACAATTAGTTTGCGTGTACTGTTTATTTTTTTTAAAGATTTATAAGCAACAAATTTAATAAAATCAAACAAAGATGAAGACTTAATTACCACACCTGATTAATAAAACCTCCACTTGGTATCAAACAACTAATGTCAGCCATCTTAACATTGCCCACTACACAAAAAACCCTGTCTTTTCTAAACTATCCAGAATTGAACAAACCATGCTTATACGGTTACGCCTTGGGCACACTAGACTGACCCATGCAAATAAATTCGTTCAACCTCCATCGAACCAATGCAAATTTTGCAATAGCACAGACACATCGATTACACATATCTTGAACGAATGCCCATCCTTCCACAATATAAGACCCAAAACCCCAAACTCCGATCTCATATCTTTCTTAATTAACCCAAAACCTGAAAACATACTTGTCCTTCTTACATTTCTAAAAAAAGCCAACATCATGAATGAATTATAAGGCTACAAGATGAGAATTTAAAGCTTCTTTCTAATATCATGTATCATAATTATGTATTTTTTGTTAATCGTAAGCTAAATGTTAAGTGTTAAATCTTATATAATAAATAAGAAATAGATGAAAATATAATCAGCCGAAAGCCTCAGCAGCTATGGCTGTCATCCCTCCCTGTAGCTTAATTTTTATAAGTAAGCCTACAGTGTACAAGTGTACAAGTGTAGTAAGTGTACAGTGAATGGTTGAAGATTTTTAAGTAGAAGTCATTAACCCAAATATTAAACTTCATTTAAAATGGAAACTTAATTTAAAATTATCAAATTAGTCAAGGAATTTAAAGGTGAAAAAGACAAATATGTGAGTTGGAGGGAATCAGCATAAATTGTCATAGGGCAATATGCTAGAGGTAGCGAAAGATTCTTTTCAGCATTGTCAATCTTGAGAAACTGAATAGCTGCTACAGCAAATGATCCCCTTACACATAATTGAACAATACTAAATTTTGAAGCCATAATGGCCAGGTTGGCCTCTATGAATCCACTAGGCCTACCGAACGCTATGGTAATAGTACAAGAACAAGAAAGCAATAATTTGAGGGCCCAATTCGCAAACAATTTCACATCATCACAGCGCAAGACTTATGAGTCAAACTTAAGCCCAGGCAAAGTAACCATAATAACTTTAATAGTAATCAGAGGAGTACTAATAACTTGAGGTTTAACCAAACCGATAACCAGTATAATCAGAATAAAAATCATAATTGGAACCAGGGCAGACAGTATAGTCCACAATAAAATTCCCATAATCAATGAAATTCCAACAAAGCTCAGCAAAGCAAGCCAGAACCGATGGACGTAGATGAGCCCCTACAGATTCAGTATAGGCCAAAGTATAACAATAATCAGGGCTATAATAATTATAGCAACAACAACTATAATCAGAATACATGGAATCAAAATAAAAAGCCATAGGCACAAACAACTCAGCAAAATCATCCACAGAACAAAAGACAACCAACAGGTTAACCAACCGGCATATAAAACTATGCGATTAAATAATATCGAAGAGGACCATTTTTTGGGCCAGACTCCAGAGTAGGATTACCCTACTTAATACGATATGATAGCCAGATAAATAAAAAACTTAAACTTTTAATTGGCACAGGAGCAATCTCCTGCTGTATCAGAACAGGGATTTATAAAAACAAAAATGATCTTCCTATATATAAAAGACTATCTTCGGTTATTGGATATTCTATAATTAAAAAGAAGGAAGAACGCTATAGTCGAGTACCTCGACTATCAGATACCCGTTACTCAGCTAAATGCAGATATGCAAGCAGCAAAGCGAGATTAATATGCGCCACCTACCGGAGGCAGACAGATTTAAGCGTTATGGGCGTTAGAGTGGGCGTTTTGGATCAATCGATAGGTATTGACGAGACAAATACATTTCACTTAAAATTTTTTATCTAGCATGAAAATTGTAGGCTTCACAGGATTGGGCGGTTTGAGGGCGTTAAAGTGGGCGTGGTAAACTTTTTTTTAAGTCATTCGGTAGGTATTGATGAGAACAATACATTTCAGTTAAAATTTTTATTCTAGCATCAAAACTGTAGGAGCCAAAGTTTTGAGCGGCTTTTGGGAGTTAGAGTGGGCGTGGCACTCCGATGAATCAAACTTGCGCTGCGTAAGAAGTTCAGGAATCTGCACGCCAAATCTCAATAGCCTAGCTCTTATAGTTTCCGAGATCTCAGCGTTCATCCGGACAGACAGACGGACAGACGGACATGGCTAGATCGACTCGGCTAGTGATCCTGATCAAGAATATATATACTTTATGGGGTCGGAAACGCTTCCTTCTGCCTGTTAAATACTTTCCGGCGAATCTAGTATACCCTTTTACTCTACGAGTAACGGGTATAATTATCACATGGTAACGATATTTGTTACGGGTTACACGTTTTATAAAATTTTGAAGAAACCGCCTAGAGGCGCGTACGCCACAATCATTATTACTACCGTTATAATAGATTTAAGATAAATACCGTGAAGTACAATTAATATTAGTCACATTAGGAATAAATTGGTTATATCTAAGTTCAGAACCCGGGGTGGCAACGCCAACCGATAGTTAGCCAAGACATGTTAAATACTAGAAAAGCAAAGGAGCTAAAATACCAGTAGTAGGACAATACTGGAAATCCCGAATGCAGGAAAAGGGCGGAAAAGGGAAGGCGATCACACAGTGATCGTTTCGTTCTTCTCTCGGGATCGCGGAACGGGTAAGTCGTGTGACTTGGGCACGGTTTAGCAAGGCTTCGAAAACCACGTGTGCTCCTCGAGCTTTTCCGCAGGTGGAGAATCGCAGGACAGGCCACCCTTGACGCCTGACGCGACCGCTCTCGGCCATCTGATCGCGCATGTTCCGACAGTTTAAGGTAGCCAAGTTCTACGCGGTGGTTCGCGGGTGAGTTTAAAGAATAAAAAAATATAAAATATATAAAACGGGTCAGCTGAGGTTAGTACGACCAGGTTCTCATTTGGGCAGGACCCGAGTGAGGATGAATTGAATAAATAGTGAGGAATATATAATCGCACCTTTCGATTGCGTGTTTTCTTTTCGTAGTCATTCTTTTCATTCACAAAGCTGCTTTGGCTCTTAACGCGGACACCCTTCCCTTTCGTCAAAGTGGTCGTATTCCTGCTCCTAGTAAGATATTACCGTAGCACCGCCGGACCTGAAGGTGGACCCCCTTTCCGTTCGGTACAGTAGTTTTCCCTCCGACGCGAGATATTTAAGAAGGAAGTCCGCCCAGGAAAATAAGTGGATGAGTACTCCTAAGGAATCAGACGGTGATTACAAAGAAGCTGATTTTATCAAAATCTCTGGTGTAGGAGTTCGCTGGATATATACTCGCCGAAAAGACGAACTCAACTCACTCGCCCTTGAGTTTGGCTTTAAAGTGGATGTTACCGTCGAGGAGGCCAGAATGGCGTTTGCTAACCTAGTCAGCGCAGGATCCTTCCCACAACGGGTGTGGAACCGACTAGCTCAGTTGCAGGAACAGTATAACAGTCGGGCCCCGAGCCCCAACCCCGCAGGGAAGAACGACGAGACGGGAGAATTTGTGGAGTCCCACCGGCTCCCTGTCGGCTCAGACGCTGCGCCGATCGAGGTTCCAACACGTCATCAAATAATACATCCAGGAACGACACACGGCGTCTGGGTGCCGCCAGTAGATGTTCGCTCAGCCGCTGGTCTGGTAATACGACTCCCACTCAGCATTTGCTCCCCGAGAAGATGCATAAGTGGAACCTTCGCACTCGAGGAAAGATGATGACATATAGGACAAATCCGGAAGAGATCCCCCGGGCTATGTCCGAAATCTTCGAGAGCCCGTAGTTCCGTTATTCCGTATTAGCCATCTGCAGTCCGCGGCTTGGGAAACTTTCCGTAGGGAATTCCTGGATTTCTTCCTACCTCCTCGATATTTCGAAAGATTAGAGGATGAGGTTCGGACTCACGTGCAGAGGAAAGGAGAGCCTTTCAAAACATACCTGATCGAGCTCAGAACGAAGATGCAACAGGCCGGGTACCGAGAAGAGGAAGAATTATACCGAGCATACGAAAACATGGCTCCAGAGTATCGGCTGTATATCAAGCGCAGCGAATTCGCGACTTTGAAGCAGCTGACCCACATGGCTACCGAGTACGAGAGTGTCAAACAGCTCGAGTCGATTCGATGTAGAACGGGCAGAAAAACCGAGGGATCGCAACTTCGATGATCGCCGAACCCCTTCCGGAACTCGGAGAGTACTACACAGGAAGGACACGTGACTCACTCAGGCAAGGAACCTTACGAGTAGACGTGCAGCGGGCCTGCGGCCGCTGGGCCTGCGTCTGGGCCTGCGGCCGCTGCGGTGATAACGGACACTTCCGTTTAGACTGTCCAAGGCCACGCCGCGACATCTGTTGGGATTGTGGCCGGGTAGGAGTGTTAACCATAGAGTGCTGCCGTCGGGATGCCTCGGGAAACGGAGGACGTCTCCGCCGAAACCCGAGTGCGGTGGAGACGAGGGAAGCATCGGCCCGACCCCAACAAACCCCCCGTTTAGGGTACACGGTGGGCTCATCACGGCAGCGATAAAAGTCGGAGGGAGATGGGTGGACACCACCGTTGATACCGGGGCATCAAGGAGTTTCGCCAGTGAAATTTTTACAAACCTGGTCGCCCGCGCAGGCGAGTTTCGGGATGTGGTCACTAGAATAGCGTTGGCCGATCGGTCATGTTCTGTCTGACAGAACTCCGGTCACGTTGGCAGGCACCACAATACTCTTACCCATGTTGGTGATGCCCACCATGTTGGATCGAGTGATACTTGGGATGGATTTCCTCAAGCCACCCTTGACTTGCAGCCTGAGCACCAAGCAGTAGGAGATTCTTTGTTACTCCCAGTACTCATACCACCGAGGGACGACCCAGGAGAAGCGCTACGCCCCGTCAAGAGGATGAGATTCGGACTCACGTGCAGAGGGAAGGAGAGCCTTTCGAAACATACCTGATCGAGCTCAGAACGAAGATGCAACAGGCCGGCTACCGAGAAGAGGAAGAGTTATACCGAGCATACGAAAACATGGCTCCAGAGTATCGGCTGTATATCAAGTACGAGAGTGTCACACAACTCGAGTCCATTCGATGTAGAACGGGCCCGAGGGATCACAACTTCGAAGATCGCCGAACCCCATCCGAAACTAGGAGAGTACTACACAGGAAGGACACGTGGCACACCGGATGATCGGGCAAGGAACCTCACGAGTAGACTGCCGGACAAGGAGGAGCAAAGGTTCTCAGCCCGACGCCTACGCGGGCCACGACCATGACAAACGACACTGGGATACTCGTAAGGATGGAAGCGGAAGAGCACGACGAAGAACGGCAATTGTACCTTTGAGCCTGGGGTAGCAAGGCTTCATCGACCGAGAGTTAGCTTTGTTCGAGAGTCTCCAGGGGGTATCGCATGTCGCCGAACACAGTATCGTCATGCGCGACGATAAACCATTGAAGCAAAGGTATTGTTCCAGGAACGCCCCCATGCAACATGTCATCGATACCCAAGTAGACGAACTGCTCCGCGCAGGAGCCATCGAGCCTTCATGGAGCCCACACAGCGCACCAATCGTTTTAGTGAAGAAAAAAGCTGGCGATTGGCGCATGTGTGTCGACTACCGACAGTTAAACGCACACTCGGTGCCCGACGCCTACCCGGTCACGAGGATCAATCGCATCCTGGAGTAGTTGCGCCACGCCCGGTACATCTCCACGTTGGATTTCCAAAACGGTTACTAGCAAATACCCATGGCAAGGGATAGTCCCCAATACACGGTATTCACTGTTCCAGGTCGGGGACTATACCAATGGAAGGTCATGCCCTTTGGGCTGCACTCCTCCAGTGCCACGTTCCAACGTGCTCTGGATAGCGTAATCGGGGCGGAGATGAAGCCGGTCGCCTTCGCTTACTTAGATGACATTATTGTCATTAGCGCTACGGAGGAACAACACTTCGCTAACGGCAAATTTGAGGATAAATCCAAAGAAGTGTACTTTCTTCAAGCAAAAACTGGTTTACCTTAGTCATGTGATCAGCGGCGAAGGGATTCAGACTGATTCCGAGAAGGTGTCCGCGATTAATGGGTTGAAGACTGTAACGAACAAACTCTATGAGCGTTGTCCACCCTAACACCTCTGTCTACGCTTTGACCGGCCTGCTCAGGGAGATGGGTGTGGGTTTGTGTTAAGATGAAACAAGAGTGTCACAGAACTAACAATAGTGGACAGAAAGCCGATAACGATAAGGATTTTAACCCAACGGCTAAGATTCGGACGAGAGACTGTACCTATCGAAGACGGAGGCCCAGGTGTTATTGGCCACCTTCTATACCCACCCTACCTGTCAAGTATCATTAGACTTCACCCTTAAAACAACCACTGCGCTACATTCTCTAAGGTGCCCTCAAAAGATCACAAATTAATTCAACTTAAAGTTAATTTAATACGGCAAATACGATAATATGGTTCATGGTTCTTAATACTACAAATCCTAACACTGATACCTTAAAACTATATGATCGTGTTTCAGTACAAGATTATCAAATATGAAAAGAAATGGATATTTAGTTTACATTAAATTATTACGAAACTGATTACATATTTTATCGATATGCGGTAAACTTATTCAAAATTTACAGAAAAGCACTTAGGCGGATTACGTTAAATTATATAAGGGCAAACGATTCTTATTTAATATTAATAAATTCACGAATGTGTGAAAATTTACATTCAGTCCCACGGTACTTGCTTCGTATACACAGCTGATAGCCCTGCCAATTGAATACGAAAGTGAGGACATCTGGCAACTTTACAGAACTTGCGAGAAGAAAGGAGAGAACTACTAGCTTCAGCGACCGGAACAACATCGTCATCTTTTACTTTTCTGTCCATTGCGACCCATTTTTTTGTATAAAGTGAATTAATGAACAAGAGTGAAGTGTTATAGGCTAATGAATTAAAGGCTAAACTGTTATATTTCAACTTCAGTCATGACAGCCGTATAGAGCATTTTCGGCACGGCGTCACAACTGAACATGGTGGCCCATGATGGTACTCATGCTTAAAGTTTTAAAATCTCAGTTTGATCTTTCAATTGTTAGTTATAGAGCATAACACTCATCACTCTATCTAACACAAATTGCGATCGTCTCCGTTTGTGCCCCCAACACGTGCTCTCACACCGACAGAGCACAGTCATCAATACCAACATACCCGGTCGTCTGACAGCGCTTCTCAACCAAAGCAAAACTCCTACTCAAACGGAATCGGAAAACAGTACAGCGGAGCTAGCTATGGTCAAAGCAAAATAGAAAACAATTCTCATAATTTGTCTGACCACGAAGCTGATGACCCGGCCTTAGAAGGTTTTGTTACACTTCAAAAGGAGCGTCTTCAAAGTCTAACACGTCTGCAGCAGAACTATAAGAAGGACTCCGCGTCTCGAAAAACCGAAAGCTATTATATGAAGCGCCTGCAGCAAATCGAGAGTCTACACTCGGCTTTTGAGACCAGCCATCAAGTAATCCTTTGCATAGAGGGATATGCCAAGACGAACTATCACGCCAAGAAGCTCGCCGTTAGTTCTGAGGATATGTACATGGAAACCTACTGTCTTGTAGCTGAAGGCCAACGAATAAAGCCAATAAGTTATTAGCAAGCGCACAACAGGCTGATCGCGACCACGCTACTTGCCCGACATGGCATTTCACTCCGCCATACTCCCCCAATTACGGAGGCCTTTGGACGGCCGGGGTCAAGTCCGTCAAGCATCACCTAAAGAGGATTGTCAGAAATCACAAGCAAACTTATGATGAACTCATCAGGATTGAAGCTTGCCTAAACTCTCGGCCAGACGACCTAGAAGCTCTCACGCCGGCACATTTTCTCATTGGTGACACCCTGCTCGCACCTGCCCATTGTCGCCCTCAAAACTCGTCGTTCCGTGAGCAATTTCTCTCTCATCAAAATTTGATCCGTTAGTTTGGGACACAATGGAGCCGAGATTGGCTGTCCCATCCTTAAACTCGCCAAAATGGTGTCAGGAAAAGGAGAATTTTTAAATCAATGAATTAGTACTCAAAAAGGACGATCAACTGCCTGCATCACAATGGACGCTCGGTAGAATTACCATTCTCCATCCTGGAGAGAATTCACCCGTTGGAGTTGTAACACTGAAAACCTAATTAGGCAGTCAAAAACGCTCCATCTCCAAGCTTTGTGCCTGCCGATCTCATGCTAATTGAACCAGCTGTTGCTCCCTTGGTAATCAATTGCATCCGTATGTCAATTTTTTTTCTCTTTGTCTTAGCCGCTACGAATACAAGGGAATTTAGATCTAAAATCCGGAACATGCTGATTTCGCATTGGCGGGCGGCATGTTCAATCCCGCGGTACTTGGTTCGTATACACAGCTGATAGCCCTGCCAACTGAATACGAAGGTCAGGACATGTGGCAACTCTACAGAACTTGCGAGGAGAAAGGAGAGAACTAGTAGCTTCAGCGACCGGAACAACATCGTCCCCTTTTAGTTTTCTGTCCATTGCGACCCATTTTTTTGTATAAAGTTAATTAATGAACAATTATAAGCTGCACACATTATAAACTAATAAATTAAAGGCTAAACTGTTATATTTGAACTTCAGTCGTTTAACTACTCCCAAAAGCCCCTTTTACGATGACAACCAATAGAACTGAACAATATATTTGTACCAAAAGTATGAGGGTTCAGACAAGAATGAATATATATATATGTAGGAATGTTAATGATTTACGGCTATGCCGTACTTACGAACTCTCCAACGAAGTCAGCTGTAGAATAGTTTAATTTAGGTGTATATATGTCATACTATACATACTGTCGTAAGCTCGCATGCAAGTATAATGGCTAAATAGGAATCATAAATTAAATTACAACTTGTCTTAAAAATATTTAGAATAAGAAAATTAAGCTACAATCGCTTTAGCGATACAAAAACAAGTTGGCAGTCCCGGCCAAAATTAACTGGAAACCAGAATTGGAACTCAAATTTCAATTGGGATGCGGCATCGTGCCTCCGCGGTCTTACCCGAATTACGCCGAATGGGCGCCGATGCGGTTTTCGCCCGAACTGCAACGTGATCCGACTTGTAGATCGCGGTGCGCACTTGGTAAGGACACAACCTCTCGTGGGTTGACGCCGGTGATCCTTGAAGCCGCTTATGCCTTGACGATGATTAAATCAATCCTGGTGTGGGCAGAATGAAAGACCCCCTTCGCGCGGTGTGCGGTATGAGACTGTCAAATGCGGACTCTGGCCTGACGCTGAAGAAACGTATAATTCCGCTAATTAACCGCTGCACGTGGCACCTGCTGCTTACTGTGCGCAGAGGGAGGACTGTAAAACTTCCGACAACTCCGAGAACTCGCACGTGGGTCTGGTCACTGCTGTTTTCCAAGATATATATATCGTCCCAATTATCTTACCAGCAATATTGGGAATGATAACAGGTCGTACTGGTCAATAAAATTCTAAGAATTTCACATGCGGATGTATGGATGCGGACGGGTTTGAAAACTATAACACTTTACGCAGGGAACGAACCGATCTCGGGAGAAGTTTTCGACAAAGAGTAGGAAATCAAGGCGTCTAAAGTGGATGTAGGATGCACAAAATCCCCAAAATCCATCAAAATGGTATTTTTGGTATTCGGGCGGGGATCGAATCTTTGCTAAACTGAAGGGTTGCATCGGGGCTTTTTATGTAATGGGTAATGTCTTAATTAAACTTAGCCGAAGTTGACTTCCACAAGACCCTCACCAACCTGAAGGAACTCCGTCAATGGAACGGGATGGCATCATGATATCGGAGGTTCGTCCCTAGCTTCGCAACCATCGTACAACCCCTGACCGCGCTACTGAAGAAATATCGGAAGTGGACCTGAGGGCCGGAACAGCAAACCTCCTTGGAAGAGATTAGAAGATGCCTGACCACCGCCCCCGTGTTGGGTTGTCCGAATTTCGACCAGAACTTTGTTTTGCAGATTGACGCGAGTGACTTCGGCTTGGGAGCGGTGTTATCTCAGGACATTGAGGGTCAAGAGAAGGTCATCGCATACGCCAGCCGCCGACTAACTCCTTCGGGAGTTCTTCCGGCTGAATAGCGCACTGGGCTTTAGAACTGCAGCAGTTTCAATTCGACGTGCGCTACCGCGTCTAATACGAGTGTCCTTACTCCCCGACCGCAGGACACTTATGGGACCGAAAGACGATTACCCGTCTGTCACAAAGATATTTCTGGCCCGGCATGTACCGCGACGCAAGACACCACGTTCGGCACTGTGAGTTGTGCCAGAAATTTAAGACCTTTCATACCAAAGCAGCAGGGAAAATGCTAACCCGCGTTGTAAGCGAACCCTTTTACATTCTTTGTGCTGACTTCGTAGATCTACTACACTATGCTTCTTGTTTTCCACGAAATGGGTAGAGTTTGTCCCGCTCCGGAAAGCCACCACCGCTGTATTACAGAAAGCGTTTCGGGAACGCATACTCGGGCGAGTGGGCATCCCCCGGAAGTTCGTGTGCGACAATGGAACCCAATTCACAAGTCGGACCCAAAAAGACTACTTTTTTAAACTCGGCTTGGAAGTTCAGTACACGGTTCCGTATTGTCCGCAGCAGAATCCCACTGAGAGGACCAATCGTACTGTGAAGTCGCTGATATCTACGCTGTCGGAAGATGACCAAAGTTCTTGGGACAGTATGTTGCCGGAGATTTCCCTCGCTATCAATAGTAGCATATCGGACTCGACGGGGTATACTCGCGCATTTCTCACTCAGGGACGGGAGCTACGTTTGCCTGCGAAGCTGTACGACGAACCTACGCCTAGATCGGCGGTCGTACATACAGGTTCTGAAGACAAGGCGTCGCATCTCAAATGAATCTTCGACATCGAATCTTCAACGTGCATATCTAGAGCATGCGAGGCACTATAACCTTCAAAGGCGCGAATGGAGACCAACGTTCGGGAGTCAAGTATGGTTGCGACAACATCCCTTACCAAAAGCCGCCAAAGTCGCTCCCAAATGCGACGGTCCCTATACCGTCGCGAAGTTCACGTCTCCAAACTTGGTTCGCCTGCAGCGTCCGGGAGACCGACGGCGACGGATCGCCAATATATCGCAGCTTAAACCCTACTATGCGATGGACACCTCCGACACGATCGACAACAGCATCGCCGGGCCGAGTAACCCGGCATGGTAAGCACCTAGATCCGCGGAATAACTGTAAGATCCATGGTTGTAATAGGTTAAGATTAACGGGTCCTTTGTTAGCTAAAAAGGTAGGGTTATACCAACAAGTCTAGACTAATATTTCAGATGGACGAGATAATCGTGTTATCCGACGACTCCAACGACAGCGAGGCCTTCTACCCAGACGCAAACTACGGGGACGGCCGTGAAGAACAAGAGGAGGAGGAGTTCCTCAACTCCGAAGGTGAAGCCGAGGGTAGCTCAACGGGATTGAACGACGACGATTTCCAGGATCCCGGCGACTCACACTTTGCTGGACTTCGCGGAGGTCTGTGGAGTCCCCGACCCGGTGAGTGGCAGCGATGTTACCAGCCGACGTCATCCCAACCAGCCTCGTACCGCCTCGACGACGACCCCCTCGCTCTGGATACAGCTCACCGCACGGTCATCCCCAAGGACGATGGCCAAGGGAACCGTACTACACCGAGTTGCGACAATCCGCCTAGAAGGCGCGTACGCCACAATCATTATTACTACCGTTATAATAGCTTTAAGAGAAATACCGTGGAGTACAATAAATATTAAGTCACATAGGAATAAATGGGGGTGGCACCGAAAACCGATAGTTAGAAAAGGGCGGAAAAGGGAAGGCGGTCAGACAGCGATCGTGACGTTTCTTCTTCACTCGCGGAACGGGTAAGACGTTTGATTTGAATACGGCTTAGCGAGGCTTTGAAAACCACGTGTGCTCCTCGAGCTTTTCCGCCGGTGGAGAATCGCAGGACAGGCCAGCCCTGACGCGACCGCTCTCGGCCTTCTGATCGTGCATGTTCCGACAGTTTAAAGTAGCCAAGTTCTACGCGGTGGTTCGAGGGTGATTTTAAAGATGTATATAAAAGGGGCCAGCTGAGGTTAGTGCGACCAGGTTCTCATGTGCTCAAAACGGTGTAGCAGACCCGAGTGAGGATGAACTGAATAAAGAATGAAGAATATATAATCGCACTTCTCGATCGTGTGTTTTCTTTTCGTAGTCGAGGAAGACTTAACGACCTAACCTTATTCACACAGCTGCTTTGGGTCTGAACGCGGACACCCTTCCCGTTCGTCACAGTGGTCGTATTCCTACTCTTAGTAAGATATTACCGTAGCACCACCGGACCTGAATGTGCCCCCTTCCCTTCGGTCCAGTAGTTTGTGAGGAGTTGAATAACTCCCCACAAATAGAAGCAGCAGCAGATGGCCGACCGCTTACCAGATACGCGGCGAATTCGCGTAGTAACGGCGCGGCGAGGAGAACGAGAGAGTTTGGAGACCAAGGGTGGAGATCGAGAGAGTTTGGAGACCA